AAGAAGTATTTCAGCCTTTAGCATTGTGTGCATGTAATAGCATTTATCCTTACAAACAAGCTATTTACAGACCCATTCCAGGCCTCCTTCCTTTGCCAGAGGCAGCAATCACCACAGAATGAAAGACGAGCTACGCTCATGGCTAGCTGGTTGTATTCCAGCACTGGTAAAACAAATCATTAAGGTCAAAGGACCAGCCATTTTAATAAACTGTGTGCACTGTTGTTATTGTGACTTATGGCTTTGCTCTGCAGAGAGGAAAGCTATAAAACAGCATAAAAGAGAAAGCAATTTTTCTACTGCATGGTTAAGTGTTAACCATATACATGATACATACATAAGTATATATAATACCTATATATTATATGCATACTTATATATTTATACACACATGAGTACAACTCTAGTGGTGTATATATATAATATATATGTGTGTCTAGATATATAGCTCCAGGTGCTTACATGAGAGATTCACAGCATACCTGCACCTACCTTGGGAAAAGTACTTGGTTTATCTATAGATACCAGTTTTCACAGATGTCTCCAGATTTTAATAATGGAAACAGACTTGTCAATGTGCATGCATGTGTGCTGAAGGCACATCCCAGTACTATTTGGGTGCTGGTTCTTACCCGCACAAGGCAGCTGTGCTGCGCTGTGAGTCTTGTAGGCGCAGTCTCCCTGCCGTTATTCAGATGGTACATCCTCCTGCAGAGCAGGGGAACTCCTCCCTATCCACATGCCTGTGTTTCCTTTTGATGGAAGCCAGGATGTATGAAGAGGAAGGGAGAAGAAGTAGGTCAGGTCCTGACTTGCACATGGCCAGATCTTATGTTGGGACACAGAGGAAAGGAAACAGTCCCTGATTCCCCAGTCTAGTCATAGGCTTCTCTGGCTTACAAAGTAGTGCTGATCTGTGCTGAGCAGGTGGTAATTTTGTAATACAAATGAAAAGTATTTGGGGAACAGGACACATTCAAAATTACTACTATATAACTTATAGAGTTTCATGGCTTTTATAAGATCCTGGTTCACAGGTCTGATGTTTCAACTAATGAATGAGTTTCATAGATTTCATAGATTTCATAGATTTCTAGGTTGGAAAAGACCTTAGAGATCATCCAGTCCAACCGTCCCTAATCTCCCATTAAACCATATCCTTAAGTAGTTCATCCACCCTTTTCTTAAACACATCCAGGGATGGGTCTATTGCCTTTCCTCATATCTGGGTATTCAACCAGCAAAACCACCTGCCATCTATCCTTTGAAAATTGCATTTTCTTGAAGGGATCTCCACCAGGCTCTAAAACAAGAGTGGCCAAAACCATTGTTCAGAGTTGCTGAAGAAGTCCTAAGCCAGCCACAGTGCACAGAGAGCTAGGTATAAACTCATCTGCCTTAAATATACTTGCTATCTCATTGTTCAAAACACGTAGAGGGAATATATGCACATTTGGTAGTGATGAAATGATTTTTCAGGATTCCAGCTAGGCTGATATTGCTGGTCATCAGAAACCACTTGACTTGACTTCTGATCCAGACAACTCAATACTGAAATTACTAAGGTAAAGAAGAAATATCATAGAATCATAGAGTGGTTTGGGTTGTAAGGGACCTTAAAGATCATCTAGTTCCAAACCCCCTGCCATTGGCAGGGACACCTTCTGCTAGATAAGTATATGGAATGATACAGAAGCAGGTCCTTTTAATATTAAATACTTTAGTGCCCAATGATTTTTCATCATTTTCATTTGCTTCTCTATGCTACAAAAAGGTGGAGTAGACTTGCTTAGTGATAGATTTTACTTAGTGGTAAAACTATACCAATGAATATAATTCTTAATATAAAAGAAAACTTGTGAAAATGTTTAAATGGAAGTATATATTTTACAATTGTTGCTTCATGAGGTCATCTTTAAACATTCATGAGACGTTTATCTTAAAATAAATTCTGCTCTATGGAACTGTCTGCTTATTTTACAAAATATTTTCAATAATAAGTTTTTAAAGTGTTTTCCCCTTTCCAGTATTTCTAACTACATTTTAGAGCGTAATTCCTTAAAACTAATGAAGGTTTCTCCTTCCTTTATGATCCATTGCTGTTGTTGCTTAGCCACTGATTATATCACATACAAACTTTATCTTCTCTCTTATGACAAATGTTGTTATACCCTGAAACAATTCCACCATACAGATACAGTATTAAGTCTTCTGTGCAAGTGAACAGCTCTTCTATTTCTCATACCATTATCAGATTGGCCTATTCCTACAGGACTGCAGCATTTCTACAATCAGGATAATAATCAAAGTCTATTTCTCATTCTCTGAATATTGCTGATGAAAGAATGAATCTTATTCTTTCATGCTTAGCTACGCAGAACAGCACTATTCATTTAACTGTGTAAAGAATCTCTGATCCATACAGATAAATGGGCTTTGGATGAGCAGGGATTATTCCACTGTATCAAGGGATGTGAGGGAGCACTTAATTTGGAGCATTAATTACTTAGGGATACATTAGGCTGATATGTATACAAACCTATATTATGAGAAGATTTGGCTTGATTGACAGAACTAGCTGGAGTATATAAACGAAAATTCTGGATTTTGAATGTAGTCTCTCTGTATATTACTTGCCAATCCAATTAATCCCAAATTACAAATAAATCTGAATGTTTCTAATTACAACATGGGCTTTCCCCGTCGCCCAAATATAAAAAAGTAGTCTTTCAGTATATAAGTGTAGCAAGAGTACTTAGCATTCAACAGCTGTGCTTTTGGAATGCAAAAAAACATTCCAAACAACACATTTTACTTTACTCCAACTATTCTTTCATTTGATGTAAATACATTAATCTTGAGACTCAAAAGAAACCGCTCCACTTTCCTTGGTTTGGATCGAAATCAGCAGGTTCTGCCTATTTGGGATAACTGGTGGGCACAAACTATAAAACTTCAGGTAAGACAAATGCCGTCTTCATGGGCTCATATTTTAATCTTACTAAAGACATGCCCCTATGCAAGTGGTGACAGTCTGGCTCTAAATAGCCCTTAGGTTCAGAATGTCCTTCTCTTTTTAATTCTGGCTGATCTTAACCTGGAAACAGAAGTCCTGCTCCAGTATCTGGAGCACAATTGAGCTCATTGGACCAGTTACGGATCTGTGCCACATTTTGGATTTGTAACTGAATTTGAAGCTCTTTTTTTTTAGTGTATATACACAAAAGATTTTCTTTATAGGTCATATATACACATATGTCTCAAGGCTGCAAGTAATCACAAAAAGAACTCCTATATAGAACCTGCAGATTATTTTGTGCGAAAGTTTGCTCCTCATAATTTCTTTTATTCTTCAGAAAAATCATAAATTTTCATTTCCAGTTTGTTGGATTCAAATCGTGCAAGTATAAAGAAAGGTTCTCACTTGATATTTTGATCAGAAAGCATTGACCGTGCCGAATCAACTTGCCCATAGGAATGCATTTACAGTGTCAAAACTTGAGAGCATGTATAGGTCAAACATGCCAGAAAGGTGACATTTCCCTGAGAAAGAAATTCTGGCTTTTGCACAGCCTGAGTCCATAGCTCATACAACCTTAGTTGTGTTGATTAGCATCAATAGGCATTTTCTGCAGTACAAGAGAACTGAATGATGATGATGATTTCATTTAAAAAATGACTGGCCATCATTTTTTGTACTGATTGGAACATGCTATATTGAGAGGAGAATCCTGATTTGGGATTGATATCTCCATACAGAAGGGCTTGTGCCACTTAAGTATTTCATTTTCTTAAAAAAAATACATCTTAAGTGACAAAAAAAATCTGTGTGCATAAACTAGCCCTTTTTATTCCTTTCTCTATTTGGAAGGATATTTACCCGAATTATTGCTGGTAATTATTAAATTACTGGATAATCACTGCAGAATTATCAGCTCACTTAAAATAAAATATTGATTTTCTCAGACTCATTGACTAAGTTTGACCATCAAATTCTTACAGAAATTGTATCAGGGCAGTATTTTCCTCATTCTTCTCAAAGAAGACATTTCATTACCATGCAAATGGAAGTGCCTCTGAGCAGGCTAATTGGTGTATGTGACATGTAACAGGCAAACCACAGTATTAAGTCACTCCACAATTTATACAGAAAGTATAATTCAAATTTGACTGAAAATACCATTGTTTTTTTTGAGATCTGGTATTTACATATGGCAAAGTGGTGGGTGGATGTCTATTGCATGTGCAAAGATTAGAAAGAATAATTGTGTAAGATACTATGCCTCACCAACAAAAAAAGAACATTTAAAGGAAATGCACTTGGTAATTAGATTAATAACGGGCAATTAATTTGATAGAAGCAGGCAGCCTATTTGAAAGCAACAGAATTACATAATGTAATCAAAGCATATTTCGTCCAACTACTTGCATTTGTTTATTTATTTAAAGGCATGTTGCATGCACGCCTTATCACTATCTTTTAATATTTATTTTAGAAGAGATGGTAATATTCAATGGGTCAGGAGAACACTCAAAAAAAAGTACACATTTACTTCTAAGAATAGACACAGCCACTAAGCAGTTTAGGCAACCACAAATTCAGTTTCAAACACATCTTGGGAACGCTTTTCTGTAGGAAGGGACAGAATCAGACTCAAAGCGTATCAGAAAGGGATGCTATCAGCATCTGCAAAACAAGCTTCAAGTTTAACACAAATGAAAAATCCACTCAAAAATGCAGTTTTGGCATGTGAATACAAACCTGAAACTTAACACACTTATCTGCCAAACCGTCAAGAACCAGGCCTTTCATTCCCATGAGGCTAATATAAACTGTCACTCTCAAAAGCACGTTAAGGTACACTAATCTTTCTGATGCGCAGTCGTTTCTCTTAAGTGACTAAACATGGAGCTACTGCAGCTGGCAGCAGGCAGTCATTGACTTCACACTGTGAAAACACTTTCTAAAGACAACTCTGTTATGAAATGTGGTTATTTACCTGTCATAGTCTTGGCAAATCTCCCCAACAGCTACCAATGCTTTCAAGTACTCATTGGGTTGGTAAGGGTGGATGTAGTGCAGTGAGCAGCTGTTCCTAGGATCACCATTTGACGCAGTGAAATCTATAGCTACCTGGAAAAGGAGAAAAGTCAATGTGTTGTGGAGCTCTTCTGGGCATGAGTATACCCACACCAACCATGTATCATTACCAGAAACAGTTTTCTGCAGAGATTGCAGCATTGAAGTAAAGGTCATTTTACAGCATACTTAATCAAATTTGAATTAGGGTAGTATTGATAAATATGTCTAAAAGTAAATGACAGCTTATAAAATAAGAGATAATAAAAGTAAAATGGCATAATTAGGAAAAAAAATCAACTGCATTATTATTCTATGTTGAAAATCATGTTCTAATACAGATGAATCAAATTAACTATCTCTAGGTTCTCATAATTAAATTATTCCAGCTGAGGTGATGTTCAGGACATAAGAGATGTGCAGCAAAAACGTCCCCAGAGAGTTAAAAGTCCTACTAAAACTATAAATTAAAACTCCAGTTAGGGACATTTCTTAGGTATTTTAAACATTACTGTGGCTGTAGTAATAGTAGATACTGCCTGTCTGGTATTTTTTATCTTCAAAACATCTAAGCATGAAATAATTAACCCTTTCAATTTCATAGATGACAGCAAGCTTAAAGGTGAGCTGCACAGTAAAAATAAAGCTTGATCCTGCAAAGATTTTTGTGTTGAAAAGTCTTAGAGAGGATTGTGGGAAGCATTCAATGTAAAAGCAAATATTAATGAATCCTCTTAAAATTCATTTCGCCCTTTTAAAATGCTCTTTGTACTTCTCACTGAAGATATCCTCTGGCATGCATCTTCCTGTGATATGACTGTCATGGACCAGAAAGCCCTCTTCTGAATTTTTGATGCTGCTTTCTAGCAATTCCTAAAAGGTGCAACAAGAAACACAAAAGGTCTCATAGAGGGAACAAAGTCATTTATAAAATTCCTTATGATTTTGCCCAATGACCTCTTCCTCCAAAATACCCTTTGTCCTGGTTTTAGCTGGGACAGAGTTAGCTCTTCTTTTTAGCAGCTAGAAGAGCTCCGTGTTTTGGTTTTACTCAGAGGCTCGCTCTGAGAAGAATGTCGATAGCACACTGATGTTTGTAGTTGGCACTGAGGTCTCAAGGACTTTTCAGCTTGCCGTGTTCTTGCCAGTGTGCAGGAGCACAACAGGATAAGGGGGGAGCATAGCCGGGACAAGGGGTCCACGACTCTCCTTACGATTTGTACTTGAATTTAAGATTGAGGGCCAAACTGGCCAATTAGTATTCCATATCATGCAGCGTCATGCCCAGTATAAGAGTGAGGGTCAGTCAGAAAGAAGGGCTTTTGCCCTTCCGGGACTCTCACTTTCGGACTCTCAGAGTGCTTTCTCTCTCTCTCTTGCTCTCTGTCTCGGGGCCTCCCGTTCATCCGGGATTGTGGTATCGAGTTTTATCTGTTTCGGGATTGCAGCTTTGGAATGAGATGGGCCTTGGTCAAGGGGTGGTGAGAAATTACACGGCACATCACTCGTTTGTATATGTTTATCCTTGTACATATCTGTATACATATACATTGGTAGCAGTAGTAGTAAATTGTTCTTATCTCAACCCACGGGTCTCTTTTCTTTTTCTTCTTTGATTCTCTCCCTCATCCCTGGGGTAGGGGAGGGTGAGAGAGGGACTGTGTAGGGTTTAGTTGCCAGAGCGGCCTAACCCACGACACCCTTATATCTGGATCTTCAATAGATACAAATGCACAGAGTTCAATTTCAGTTTTACAGTGCAGTTGACAGGTAAGGGCCTTGCTGAACGCGGCTAAAAGAACTTCAAAATCCCAGCTTGCCTCTGCAAATGTGCAGCTTCCCCAGATGGAGCCTTTGCTTGGCACAGGGAAGACTATTTTACACAGCTATAAAATGAAAATGAAACATGCTATTTTCATTTTCCCTTAAAAAAGGACACAGTTCTCCTGAAACTTATTTTTTATTGCTAAAAACTAAAAGAGAAAAATCCTACTGGGTCAACCCAACATGGCTTTTCCCCACTGTTTCTGATTTTCCACCTCTAACTCTCAGCTGAGAAAAAATATTTTTCACTGGGCTCTAGTTAGCTTGGAAATCTCTTCATCACCTTGATCGACTATGAATCTCCTTACACCTCATCACATTTCAGTCAGGAGATATGAGCTTGATTTGGCTTGCAAATAAAGTAATCTTTCACCTCCATTCCCTACTTGCTGTTCATGCACTAAAGCAGTGAGTCTGTTTTCCACATAGATGTTTTTCTGAAACTGATAGCTTGATTTAACTTGATTAAATTAATGGCATATCTCTCATCTTCTCACTTGCATGCACGTGCATAACTGAGGAAGAAAGAAACACCAGTGGTTGTGAAATTCGAGGTAAATCCATAGACACTTGTATGGATTAGCTTAGTTTTGGGACACTTATTTTTCAAAAATCTTGGCCAAGGTGTGCATATTTTCTTAAAAAGATGCATATTTTCCTCTGATACTAATTTAACTTTAGTTTTTTGTTCTGATTATAGAAAGTGCAAACATTCCACTGTATGACAGGGAAACATTCCTCTAAAATTGTTAAAAGCAAGTGTTTTCATTGATAACCTCAAAACAGACATTAATGAAGCTGAAGCAACACACCAGAAAAAACTGGAGAAATCTTCCTTCATGTCTGTTAGTCACAGCAAAATGCTTTTAAACTGAAAACAAGAGCACAGTGTAGGAATAAGCAGTGGGTTTCATGAGCTTGGAAAAAAGTCTGTGGCTAATGTTTGGGAAAGAACACCCCCCCCCCAACCCCCGCCAAAACAAGCCTCCTTTTTTGAAATGGTCCTTGCAGTAGAGATCTACTGATAAGTAAAACATACCCTAATTTTCTATGATGAAGTCTTTATGAGTATTTGTACTTGGATGCACTGTACTTGACTTTGATCCAAATCTCTCTTTGATTCCCAAGGGAAGGACTTTTAAGAAAAACGTTTGCTGTTACTTGCCATGATTTCAAAACAACAATGCAGAGCTCTGCTCTTTTAGCACTACCTGGCAGTACCAAGATCTTGTGCAAACAAGTAGGATAAGGGTTTGTAAAACTAACATATCACAGAAGCTAGGCTAATATCACAACTGAGCTAATCTTGCGGGCAGCAAGTAGGAATCTTTCTTACAGTGTGTACATTTGATTTTTATCAGTGTATCTTTAAATGTATCAGTTTGAATGTACCAGTCATCTTCCCATAGCTAAATAAGAACATAACACAGCAATAACTACACTCTTAGTACTTTTTTTCCTCAACCTTGTAAAAGGGCAATTTTCATTGCACCAAAAACATCTTGCATAGGTTGGAGCTCCTGCTAGATCTGTCAGCAACAAATCAACCTGTCCAATACTGTGACCTGCCTAAAACAGAATCTGTCCAATATATCTTTCTATTACAGTTCCTTTTATGCATGTTACCCATCCTTTCCGCTGTATTTCCTAAAGTGACGAAAATGTCTTCTGACTACAGACCCATTTGCACTGCCAACTTCTGAACATTTCTTCTGCAGCAGGGAACAGTCTGATAAGAGACAGAGCGTTTTGCAATAAGCAGTGCATAAAAGTAGCGGACTGGAATCAGCACTATTGATCTCTATAGATGAAAGCTTCTTAATAAATGGGTTTTGAGGTAAAAGTTTACCATTGTTTTCCAGAGACGAACTATGTTCCTACAATAGATACACAACGCATCCCAAGAACACACAGCATGATGTTACCAAAGCCTTCATTAGTGACTTAAATTAGCAGGTACATCATACTACAGCTTTTTGTTGTCAAATGTATGCTTAGCATCCCAGTTTCCCTCCCCCAGTGGGGGCTCTTTCAAATCGCAGTTGTATTGTACTGCCTGTACACAGCACGAACTCAATAGAAATGTCATTAGCATTAAGACAACAACAACCATACAGGTACCGCAAGAGTTTCAAACAATGCCAGATCCATTCCAGTTAAAAGAAATGGAAGTCTGGGAAGGTGGAAGGAATAGGCCTCCTCTATTTCAGTGGTCTGAACTAACCAGTTTAGGACTATGTGAAAAGAAGATTCTATGATGTGTGCAGACAGTAAGGGAGCATTGAATATCTCTCCTGTAGCCTGCACTCTTTTGCTTCAGAGCCCACTGGAGAATCTCTGATATGTTTCTGGAAACAGCAGCACAGCTCACAACCAGTCTGTGCTATCAGCACTGGGGACTGGTGCAACTGAGGCAGGAGGAAGTAAATACGTGGTCAGCTTGTGACGATGTTTAAGTTGAACACCTGGGTTATGCATGAACAGAGCTATAGGCACAGAGACATCCACAATGACTTCCCCTGAGTCCATGTAGGTTGAAAATTGACAGTGATGAGTTTACACAATTCTGAAGCTGGTGGATTTACCACTGAAGTCAGCAGTAATTTAGGGATCTCTATAGTTCACAGTATAATGGATCTTTCATTTCCTTTATGTCGTCACTGCCCATCCTTGCAGATGAGTATACCTAAGTTTCCTATTATCAATGGTTTTGTTTCATTTCAGCAAAATGAAATATTAGAAGAATAGAAAATAGTAGAAGCAATACCACCCATTTTAGCACATTTTAACATGGCAGTTTCCAATTTGTGGTTCACAGCCTACTAATAGGAAATCTGTGACTAGTAAACAGAAGGCAAGCAGATTGCCATGACCCTTCAGTGCACTGTGGAAGGACTTGTTCTTCCATTGGAAAACATTTAGGAGGAATCAAAAAGAGTTTGAAAAGCACAGCTGTACATAATAATATGTATATCCCTAGACACTTTCTAAGGGTTACAGTGCACTCGTGCTTGTGCTAGAGTTGTGGGAAATACGTATTAACCAGTGTTTGCACGTGCTTAAGCATCTGCCCTGATTAGAAAAGATTTTAAAATATTACTTGAAGACATTACTGTCTTTCAGCTAATGACCTTGAACACACTTGATAATTGAGTTCTTCCAGTCAGATTTTTAGGGAGAAAATGTCAGGAAACAGATTAAAGGGGTTTTGAGAGATTGGCGAGCTTCAGATTTGGAGGAGAAATGGGCATTCCAGGTATGTGAGGATAACAGAAGAAGCAGCCAGGTAAGGCAGAGAGTAATTACAAAGGATGCTTTGTTTCAGAGAAGACAACTATAAAAATCTTTGTCCCCTACATTAGATATTTCCTTCAAAACCAGAAACACGGTCCTCAGTTCTGGCTATTATTCAACGAGTTTGCGAGGTGTACTGACAAAGTGCATGTGTACACCTCAAAAAGCTGCTTCATACATCAGAAGACAATCCACTACTGTCTATAGCTGCTGCTGTTGCTGGAACTTTCTGCTGGGACAAAAAAAATCTTTCTTTTTTATGTTAAAACTTTTTGGAAAATGAAGGCTTATCTGGAAAAAGTAAAATGGAACATTTCAGTAGCATCCAATGTCTGATACTTGATATCTGGAAGCAGAAACAGGGCAGGGTGCTACAGGAAAAGAAGAGAACTCCAGAAAAAGACTATTACCTTGGAGCGTTAGATTTTACCCCTGTAATTGGCATGAAATTAGAAGTCACATAAACCAGACTGGAACTAAGCTACAATCTGTATTCCTATGCTACGGGAAATACCGATATTTTATTTATATTATTTTATTTTATTTTATATTATTTATTTTATTTTATTTCCCAGATTCAAAATCAGAAAAAGAAAAAGAGAAAAAGAAAAAGAAAAAGAAAAAGAAAAAGAAAAAGAAAAAGAAAAAGAAAAAGAAAGAAAAAAGATCAAACTATGCAGAATTAAATGTTTCCAAAAATTATTATTTGGAAACGCAAGGTATTGTATTTCTGTTTATGAAGCACTTTGCAAATAATTTTACCCCCTTTTCCTTGAAATTAATAGTGCCATCTTACTGTTGGCAGCTATGTCTAAGGTATGAAACATCAATATTTTCCCTAGCATTTACCCCAGACTGACAGAGAGGTCCCTGGCTGGACTATCTGCCTATGACTTTCGTATGGCACCATTAGATGGGAAACAACTTGCTTTAATGGAGGACTCATTCTGGAAAGCAAGACTGGCCCATAGGATTGATGAACAGGACATCTAACATTTAAGCAGCTAAAGACAGATGAGATGAGCTTCACCCCTGTGACAGTTGCAGCAAGGGGAGTTATTAGAAATTCTTGTGAGAAAACTGAGGCTCAAAAGCCAAAGGCCATTCAGGACTGTCACAGGGGCTTATTCATTTCTCCACCTTTTGGGACTGGGTATAGCTCAGATGAAATCAGTGGGACTACACCAGCTTAGCTTCTCATCCCTCTATGAAGTTGTCTCTACTTTTTGCAACATGATTGTCATTGCTGCAAAAAATAAAAAGTAAATCAGCATGTCCAAGAAAAATCTTACTGCATTAGCATAGTTTTATTTTCTGAGCTTAATACATTTTACAAGAAGACCTTAATAATTTACCAAGGAATGGCATGTAAGAATCATTTCACGATGTAAGTAATGAATCAGTATCTAAAGGGATTCTCTTTCTTTAAAACCAGTTAGAGAAATAAGACACTTACTGTAAACTGTATTTGGCAGCCTCCCATGATATAATCTAGGAAAGAATGCATCTTGTGGATCTGCAGACAAGAAAGCAAGGCATTTAAATTAGCTGTGTACTGATAAAACATCAGAGAACTGCCGGAAAACAGTAAATTGGAAGGAGAGAGAGGACTAATTGAAAATAAGGTAAAGGAAGAGAGCATTAAATATAGTCTGAGACAGAAACAAAAATGTAAACAGATAAAATAACAAAATTCTAAAACTACAGAAAGGAAAATTCACACCAAAAGTAGAACTGAACTCTGCTCGTTCTCAGTGGGAAGTCAGTGGAAATTTTGCTCTTGGTTTCGGAGTAACAAGAGCAATTTTGTAGAAATGATAGGAGGGTTAGAAAGGAAACACACAGAAGGCCAATAGGCAAGCCTGTAGGTGTAAGAGTTTAGTACTGCCTACTCCATTGCACAACAGCAGGGATACGGCAAGAGAAATCAAAGAAGAGAGTTGGGGACAGTCAGCTTACTTTTGGGACCGAAGTCCTTGTCTTTACTTTTTGTAGTGGATCAGCTTCCATTGCTATTCTACAGGCAGTTTCACTTTGTTGTGGATTTGTTTCACGTCATTGAAATATTTTGGTGACAGCTTAGTAAAGAAACAGCCAAAGAGCAAAAACATGTATTTACCTTGCACTGGTTAAGGATGACAATGCCTGAGTTCTTGTAATTCTTCTTCTTTGCTTTGTACTTGGGGTTAATGCATTCCCATTGTACCTACGAGAAATAGCAGTCACTGCTTGAAGGAAAATTTATGTACAAATTGAATAATTAACAAAAATGGCACTGATTTCCACGGTTGACTAAATCCTATAAAATAATGGTGCAAATAGAAGAAAAAATGAAAACCATGAACTATGCAGAGAATGATCTTAACAGAAAAAGGCCCAGGGCAAACATCTGTCTTCAAACGTATACGTGTGGAGAGGGATATCTAGATTCGTGTGTTGTAGTCTTCCAGTCTTGTAGGTTCAGGTGTTACATAAGTGAGATTGAGAATCTTTTGAGATCATTTAAGACGAGAAAAAAAGAGAGAATTTAATACAAATGAAAATACTTGAGAGAGCAACCTGATGCATTGTATTAACTGCAAAATTACCTATGCAGTGACACTGGTGTTTTGTATTAAAGTCATGATCAGAGAAATTCTGACCAGAGATCATTTCACTCTCTCTTGAAAGACAGCAATAGTTTTTCCTTTAAGTCTAATAGTAAAATAAAAAGTTAAGAAAATCATTAGAAGTGCACAAAGATGCAGTTAACTAATTATTGATAAATTTGAAAATTATCCTTAGGAATATATTAAAACCCTTTTTTTGAAAATGTTCTGGTTATTTTTATTTACAAATAGTCAATTTTACAGCAAAGTAGTCCTACCTTGTTACTAAAATACGTTGTCTTGTTCCCATCTGTCCTGGTTTTGCCTAACCACAACACCATCATAACATCTCCCTGAGTCTTACTAATTTCTGCTTCAAGTGTTCTGCCCTCCTCTGGTTCATGCATATTGATAAGGCCAAGCTTTCAGACACTGACCTCTAATGACTACATATTATTGATGCCTCTTACTGCAAGACTAAAATATACGCTTGTATATGCAAGTATCTATTGGCATTTGTAAATTCAGATTTGTAAAGGTAATATGTTATTAAATATGGTTAAGAACATTACTATTTTCTTTCAGGGCATTATTTGCAAACTCTAGGAGAAAACACGGGAACTGCTAATGTTATGTTGGATAACATAAAGAATATACCTCCAAACTAGGATGGTCCATTATCTAAAAATCCCTATTAGATATTTTGAAACAAAACATATCTGTCTTAAGTGTTCCAATAATTTGTGTATAGTGAAGACCTGCACAGAGGATCTGTCTGAGCAAAGTGTTTGAGCACATAAAATCATTTTTACCTTATGAACAGTCCCAGCGATTTCATTGAGCTTCAAACTATTGCCTAACTGCAACTATTTGGATGTCTCTGAAGTATTTTAAACTTAGAGCTTTTGTCAAAAGTCAAAAAAGGGGAGGCAAAACATATAGCTTTGGAGCAATATGAGACCTCATATGCTCAAGGGAGAGGGAGTATTTTCATCACTGTGCTACTGGAGACAAGTGACAGTGAAGAATGGGAAAAGACAGAAAAACGTTCCAGCCACAGGAAGCACTTCTGCTTGCTCTCCCAGTTAGCCTACAGCTCAATTATTTGTCTTGTGAAATGAATTTTCCAACTGAGAAGACAGGCAGATGCAAGCCCACATGTTCAGGGGAAATCCTCCATAAACATTTTTCCTCTACTCAAGAGAAGCAGTCAGGCTTAAGAAATAAAAGCCGTTCTCTCTCATTAAAGAGAGCACTCTGTGACACAACGCCAGAGTGCAATAAGCTCATATTTGGGAAAGCAATCTGACAGCAAGGCAAAAGCACTGCCCACTTGCATCTTGATACATTGCTGTCTGGCAAAATGGTTTAGTATACACTTGTCTCCAAACTTATTGGAAGCATTCCTATAGAGAAATTGTGCTGTTTGTATATTATAAAGAAACTGTAGTATATTGAATAGAGGGAAAAAAAAGGAGTCAGGATTTGTGTTCCTCCCTTTGACACTGAACTACACTAGAGAGACCTTATTGCTTTCCTCTGAATGTCCAATGTGCACTTCCTTAATTTTATCATCCTCCAACATGAACACTTTTCAATGTGCATGTTTAAACAAGGCCTGACCTATATGAACCCTTACACTACGCACATAATTCTCCTCCTTGGGAAAAGGATTGTTTAAGCCTGATAAACGTTAAGTTCATGTAATTGGTTTCTGGGAGAAGTTTACACTATATAAAGACCAAAGTGGCAGAAAACACTATTTAAGGGGAGAAGAATCTGTGCCTGTGGCCAGTCTCTCAGCTTCTCTGTGCTAACTATAAAATGCAACAACGAATGTTCACCTACCTTTGCAATGGATTTTAAGATGTAAGGATAACAATTCTCAGCAACTACCTAAAGCTCATTAAAATATTCCATGTGCAAGTCACTAACATGTCATTGGCTTATGCAGATAATAAAGCAAAGACGAGACTAGCAGATTCCTACAAAGCAGGGAAACAGAAAGAATTTTGCACCTATTAAATATGTTGATGTGATAGTACAAAGAAGGGAAGGGAATAGGAGAGGAGGGGAGGGAGAAGTCCTTTCCTAGTTCACAGGTAGGAGTAAAAAAACAGTAAGACAGTTTTACATTAAACTTTCAATTTTCACTTACCCATCAAGATCCAGTTCTGACCTCGGCAATTCCCAAAGTTCGAGCTGAAGATGTGACAAGCATCATTTAAGGAAATTCCCTATACAGGCCTTGTCATATCTCCAGCTCTTCTAAAAGGAACAGAGTTCTGAATATAGCTCTAAGCAGGTAAGTAACGAGAAACAATTTTCAAATATTTTGCTTGCACTGTGAGGCCAAGCTTAATTTTCAGTCTGTTCCTGCATTCCCAATATTGATTGGGTATCTGACATTGGTTTTTATCGATTCATTTTTGTCTCTTAAATTAACTTTTCAGTTGAAACTAGTGAACAGTCTGCAATCTAACGCTAATGGTAAACATTGTGAAGTTTGCATTCATCATTCTGAAAGTCACTTAGCATTTCCTTCAAATGTCTGGCAGCTCTGGGCTATGCAAGCTCTTTCGCTGTCAAACACCACAGAGAATATGAAAAAGAAAGCAACCTGGTTTTATCTATCTCCTGTTAAGTTAATATAATTACTGTTGCAAATGTTGGTGATGAACCCCCAGACTGTACTGCTTCGGTGTTTCTTTCATATCCCAAAATTTAAACCACCATGTGGAGAATTTCTGAATGTAAACCAAACTCCATCCAGATATTTTTCAATGACAGTCAAGGAAATAATGCTGACACTTGCAAGGTCCTAATCCTCTCGTTACTGTAGTGAGGAGCAGAGATCCCTCAATGGGAGATATTACTCTCTGCAGAGAAGGATTCTGCCTTTCCAAACATCCTTACCCCTTCTTTTACCAAACCTTTAGAAGAGAAGAGTGAACAGTGCGACCAGCCATGCCACACATCAGTAAAGAGAAGCAGAGGTGACTAAGTGCAGGTAACCATCATAGAACCAAACTTTGAACAGCATGTGGCTACCAATAGCACAAGCTATTCAGAGAAGGAAATGAAGGTGTCAGGAGAGTCTCATGTATGCTAAGGCAAGAGAAATCATGATACAGAGGAGTTGCTTTCTCTGGAACACTGTGCTTGCACACCAGGACATTGAGTAGTCCCGTGAGGAAAGGTGTAGAGAGCTATGGCAAAGCTTGAGTTATCACGTTCTCTTGCCTCCTCCCCTGCAATTCTTTTGTTTCTCTCTTGTTCCTTCATGAACAGCTGCTGCAACAAATCGCGTAATTTGTAAATGACACAGGAGCCATCACGGTCTAATGGACAGGGTGAAAAAACCCAGTCGATAGCAGGCAGCATTATATCCTGCGTTATCTCTTTCTGATGCCTCAAGAAAAGCAAGGCACTTCTAAGCGAACTGCGACTCCTCCAGCCTGAAAGGCCAGTTTATTCCTGCCATCCCTTTAGGCAAGTGGACAGGATAGTGGTTTTTTTTTTTGTTCTCCTTCTGTCCCAGAAAGATATCCACCATGAGAGAAGAGCTGCTTTTAATCACTAGCAGAGGTTTCCTCTGGAAACTTGCACCTGGGGAATGAAGTGAAAATCAAAGCACTTCTTGTTTCCTCAGCCAAGGCCCCCAGCTTCACCTGCGTTCCCGAGGTTGGACCACTGGTTGCCTAATCACACGGATGCGGCAGGTGCCCGACATGGCTGCACACTCCTCTGAGGCCTCTGTTGCCCTCTCCGGGGCCAACAATAAACTCCTTGGCCCATTACCAAAGGCTTAAAGGTCTCATCCATGCTTCAGTTATCTGAATAGCTACCTGATACAAAGGCCCTGAGTTAGGATCATAGTCAGATATCTGGACAAATGGGAGAACCCAACTCACATGCCCTCAGGACTCCATCCAATCTTGTGCACCTCAGCAGCCCTCCCTACCCCTCCTAATAACACCCCAGACTTGTGGGAATGTCAGTGGAGCTGGTAAGCATAGTAGGGTTTCTCCGTCCCCTTCCGTGTATGTGCATATACACACACGCTCATTTATATGTAATACAGGAACAGATTTTTCCCTTACGTAACTCCTGTGCTGCACGCCGATCCAGGTGGTTTATGTTTCTATGACTTTTTTTTTCCCCCAAATCCCTCTGGTTTTCTTGCTTCCATTTAGAAAAAAATTTGTAACTTTTTTCCTCATTAGTGGAGGATTTCTCCTTTCAACTATGAAAAGCCTTAATAGTCTTTAAATTTTTATCAAGCTTTTCTAACCTTGTTTTAAAATATTTGATAGATTAATATCAGTAAAACCTTACAAAACTGCCACTATACAGACATATTAAAATATATATATTATACATATATTTGGAACAAACCCTAAGCATACAATAAACTCAATGTATTTACTAGTAATTCACTAAAAAAAACCCAATTGTCACAAGTAGGGATGGTCTTGTTCTTACTGTGTTTTCTTGTGTCAAGATTATGGTGAAGGAGTAAATGATTAATTTTGGAAGAGCAGGAAATGTTACAAAGAAGGTTTAGAAATATCTGCTTCTGATGTGCATTTGAACAACAGGATGCCTTTGTGCCATTTTTTATCTGTGGTCAGGATGAAAACGGGCTAGGTGTCAGAATATAACAGTCTCTGACAACACGGTAGTTGTGGAACAGAAACACACACCAAGCTATTATTCTGAGGTTTTCCATGATCAGGAAGTCTTCTTAAACAGCATGAATTAATTTCATCTGTACCATCAACCAAAGACCAAGCAGCTTTCCCAGAATTCAGTTATTTCAGTCACGGAGAAGCAACCGTCACTCTGAAGGAGTCATAATCAAGACTTGCGAATCTCACCCAGGACCTGTCACATTTAGGAAATAAATTCATAAACTACTCATGCCATTCCTGATTGAAACAGGTGATCAATCACTCGGAAAACGAATCTTCTCTCCTTCCTTCACATACTACTGGTTCAATCACTAGTAAGCTGCCAGTGCTAGATTCACATTTATCTAAATGATGCTTGGCCTTAAACACAAATTCCCAAGAAATCTCACAGCAGAGGCAAGCCAGCAAGCCAACTATGCACCCATCTGATCAGAGGCTGACACTCAAAATTTGAGATAGTCAGCACCCAGCCCAGGGATGGAAATGAAACAGTCCTAAAAGCACCATCACCTCCTTTAAGTAAGTAGGTGACACATGACCATTCTGACCATCTCAAGTCGTTCTGTAACAGTCGAAGGCGAGGCTGAAGAATGCGTCAGAATATTCTGTGTTTTCTGGAGGATGAACTGCGCACAATTAAAAGGCAACTTCAAGATCCTTGTCAACTCCTCCAGAGATGAGGTGAGCTGATGAAATAGTGAGAAGTGATAGGAGTTCACAGATGACACACAGTTCTTCCTGCTCACCAGTACAAACTACTAGGTCATTACCCACCCTTACCACCTAATGCTCTTCTAACAACTTATGGAACTGATAACATCTAATACAGATGTTGCTGATGGTCAGAGAGGGAGAGTTGTGCCATTGGTGTAGCCTCCTTTAACACTGCACAGATTTGCAGATGGTACTTAAGGAGAGTTCCTGGATCCCTCATCAATGATAAATGTTCCCTCCTATTCTCTCCAGTTGCCTGTGAGAGTGAAAAACCCTGGCTGACAATCGTTAGGGTGTTTTGATTATCTTTTGACAGAACTATAGCAATGTACTGTAGCTGGCCATAAAGTCTACTGCACAAAAGAAAATATAGCCAGAATAAAAAGTTTCACTGTGTCTCCTTAACAACTCAAATAGGTATGTCAGATCTGAGTTCTGCTCCTTACATTGGCTTCCACAGCATCTGAGATGAAATTTCAGGTTTTGGTCCTCATATTCGACACTCACTGTTGTGATGCTATGTGAAAGAATGCTTAATGCCATGGGATGAAGGATGTAGCTGGAAGTTTTATTCCTCTGATTGAAAGGAGTACTACATGGAAAACAGAACATTTTCTGGTCTGAGGCTATGAAAAAGTCTCCTGTAGGAACAAAGGACTATGTCTAACTTACTCGTCTCCTCACCCACATATAATTACATTTCTCTGATGTGGCCTTCCTTATTAGAAATACTTAGCAACACATCCACTTGAAGGCAAAACCCCCTCCTTCTCTTCTGCCATTCCCTCAAGTTTTACTAAATCCCTTTTATTCAAGGTAAACACTCCACTGCACATGCTTGTTTCTTTGGGGAGAATAAAACTAAAGAAAAAACAGACAAACACTAATCACATTGCTTAATGTTGCCCAAAGCATATTGAGATAAACTATGCACTAAGATGTATTTATGGGGTCCAAAGATAGTGGCCTATATTGCCTTTAGCAGCAATAGTTATTTCTGGAGAACAGAGAAAAAGGTAAGAGGATAAGGGAGGGAGGGAGAGAGAGAGAAAGAGAAAGGGAAATTGTCCTCTGGCTCCAGCCAAGTGTCAAGTGATATAGTCTCCCACATAAGCAACCTCTCCTATATAACATGTGATCTCTCACTTTTTCCATAATAACGAAATTGTTTTCACCAGGATCTGCTCAAACTGTGTACTGCTTGTTCTTGCTTATCACGCTGTTAGGGTTCACCAAAGCGTGCTTTCATCAGGTGCAAGGGCCATCTAGCTTGTGCATGTATATTTTTGGGGCAATATTTATTAGTCACTTAAATGAGTATTACCTGCTTTCTTATCCACTAAATCTTGTTTTCATCTAGAATAGGCTACAAAACAAGGATTAGAAAAGAGGAGGGGAAGAAGGACTGATTCTCACACTGGTGGCAATTGCGTCTCATGAGAACTGGCTATAACAACAGCATTGGGTTTTGCAGGTACAAGCCCACAGAATAACTGCACAGTAACAACACAATGAGAGCGGCAAGGGAGAAATAACACTACCAAGGGAGAAGAAAAGCTGCACTTTTGCAGTGAAAAGCACATTGCAAAGTTACCGGTGAAAGACAGCCTGCCGAATGGCAAATGGCAGGCCCTTAGCAAGACAAAGGTTTAGGCACTTGAAGCATTGTGTAACATGAAAAACTTTCCTGGATGGCACTCTGATACTGCAGTGTCAACCTAGAACAAGAATTGACAAGTGGCTGTACAAACTTCTTATGCCTCTGAAGGAGTAACCATCATTTTCACTAGCAGAGAATGAAAAGAGCACACTGTTTCTCCATCATAATAAAGAATACATAATTTATCCTTCACAGCCATGCCTGGCACGCTGGACTGCAAGTCTCTTGTCTTGGCCAACAAGCTGTTTGGGAAGGACTGGGATGCTCTTTTGGAGACATTTACATTGGAAAAACACACCCTTTACGATTCTCATACAGCCCTTTCCCCAGCCACAGCTGTATATATACAAAATTGGAGTGTTGTTGTAACAACACAATACAATGTTACAACTGTAACATCAACAATACCAGTCTTGTTGATGTTATTCACTCTGGAATCTGTTTACCTTTTTAGGTAGGTTTTATTTCCACTCAAATTCACTTTGGTTTAAGTTTTGATCCTCTGACTTAATTTGAGAGAACAAAACAAGTTCTGTTCAGAAGTTACTTATAATGGGTTAACATATAACTGCTATATATCAACAGTATTTTACACACATAAACAACATTTGCTAAACTCTAGGTTGTTCTAAGAATGTCAACAGAAAATATCTAGAAGAATCATAAAAACTTCTTGACCTATGGAATAGTCTGTCTGCTTACTGTTTATTAAACACCTTTTGACTCTTTGTTTGCTATTAACACATCACAAACAGAATCTTAATATAAAGCCCAAATAAAGCCTATGAGTGAAGCAGTGTAGCAGTGAATCCAAATTATCAGGACATTAGTAAGTCAACATTTTTAAATCCCCCTCAGAGAATTTATCAAAACTAACACTTTCAGGAATAAGTTATAATAAAATAATAAAAATGACAATTTATGGAATTAGACATGCAAAATTATTGATCATATTCAATAATTACCATCAACTTCAATTTGAAAAGATCAGACTGACATAAAGAAGTGAAATTATTAATAATCTAACAATTTCGTTTTTCCACAGGGCAGTAATTCATGAGATATTTCAGAAACTGATTAGTTTCATCGTGATGGGTTCAAGTTAGAGCTGGCAGCAATGGACGCAGCACATGAGAAATCGAGGAAGACAGAGAATGACCCAATAAAGGCCTTCAGGCCAGAAGGAAAATGCTTTGAGCACCCAGACTGCGCATCTGCTTTGCCATAACAGCACAGTATCTCATAGAAACTATGTGCTTGGCCTCAAGGGAAATAAATCTTAGCAGAAAGAAATGCCTGTAGAATGTGAACTAGAAAAAGACCCTGAATATTTCAGGCATGGAAGTACAGGAAAGGCTGCTTTTTGCATTTTCAGATTATCATGTCCAGGTAACAGTAAAACCTATGAGAGAGATCAATAGAGCAACTAACTTCTGAGAGATGATAAGGCAACATCACCTGCTCTATTCCAGGATTGTCTGAGGAACACTGCTCTACAAAGCTTACATACTGAGACTGCTTGGGTGGTTTCCACTTACCTGTCTTCCTTCCATAGCTCCTCGCATTTCCTTGAAAGTCGAGCTAAATTCTCCAATGAAGTCATGCTTTCCATTGGAATCCCAGTCCCAAACTATGCACTGGGGAGGCAAAGGGCAAAAGAACAAAAGAGGACATTTTTCTTCAGATAGAAAACAAGTTTTATTGAAAAATACTCCAGGATAAATTATGATATGTATTGAGTGAAGTGTTTTATCTAGAAGGAAATCACAAGACATATAACATATTCTTGTCCAGATCAAAATGAAATGACAAGTGGAATCTCAACACAGATTGCTACTGACAGCTGTGTGTTATGGAGTCGGCTGATGAAATAAAGTTCATGGATTTTAGAAAGAAAGGATTCCTTTACTGCATCTTTTTGCTAGGTGTAAAAATACAGGATTATGTATATATACACATGCTCAAATGGTGTCCTGAATTAAGAGTAACTTACCTCATTGAAGTGCTTTACAAATACGAATTAATATTCGAAACACTAGTTGCCGTGGGCAAATGTTACCATTCTCATTTTTACAGTCAGTGAAGGTGAGACAATAGTTATAGAGATCATTTTCTGAAATGGCTTTGAATTTATACAGGTCGGTGTTTGTGCTCATATCTCGGCTGTTTTCCAGTGTTGCTCAACAGTGACTATTCAAACTAAAACCCACCAGAAGTCATTCCTAAATTCATGCATAAACATGGATATCTCAATGAGTTTGAGCTGTGAGAGTTTTATTTTACAGACATGGCTAAATAAAAATCAGCTAGCCGAGACTGAAGCACATAGCAGTAACTACATGCTTTGCTAAATATCAATTTTAAAACTTGCCAAAAGACAACAAAGTGGCTCACAACTTTAAACAACAAATTCCCAAATCTAGCCTCATGGTCTTCCTAGATAAAGTTTGCTTACATTGGCAGAATCAGGAGGCCTTTACTGAAAATGTCCTGCTACCAAACATCTGTCCCACATGACATCCTTGTCTCTAAACTGGAAAGACATGGTTTTGATGGATGGACCACTCGGTGGATAAGGAATTGGCTGGATTGTCGCACTCAAAGAGTTGTGGTTCAATGTCCACGTGGAGGCCTGTGACGAGTGGTGTTCCTCAGGGGTCAGTCCTGGGACCAGGGCTATTTAACGTCTCTGTTGGAGACATGGACAGTGGGATTGAGTGCACCCTCAGCAAGTCTGCAGATGACACCAACTTGTGTGGTGTTGTGGACACACTGGAGGGAAGGGATGCCATCCAGAGGGACCTTGACAGGCTGGAGACGTGGGCCTGTGAGAACCTCATGAAGTTCAACAAGGCCAAGTGCAAGGTCCTGCACGTGGGTCGGGGCAATCCCAAGCACAAGTACAGGCTGGGTGGAAAATGGATTGAGAGCAGCCCTGAGGAAAAGGACTTGGGAGTGCTGGTGGATGAGAAGCTCAATATGAGCCGGCAATGTGCACTGGCAGCCCAAAAACCAAATCGTACTCCTGGGCTGTATCAAAAGAAGTGTGGCCAGCAGGTCGAGGGAGGTGATTCTGCCCCTCTACTCAGCTCTTGTGAGACCCCACCTGGAATACCGTGTTCAGCTCTGGAGTCCCCAACACAAGAAGGACATGGAGCTACTGGAGTGAGTCCAGAGGAGGGCCACGAAGATGATCCAAGGGCTGGAGCACCTCTGCTATGAAGACAGGCTGAGAGAGTTGGGGCTGTTCAGCCTGGAGAAGAGAAGGCTCCGGGGTGATCTTATAGCAGCTTTCTAGTACCTAAAGGGGGCCTACAGGAAAGCTGGAGAGGAACTTTTTACAAGGGCGTGTAGTGATGGGACAAGGGGCAATGGATTTAAACTGAAAGAGGGGAGATTTCGAGATATAAGGAAGAAATTTTTTACATTGAGGGTGGTGAGGCACTGGACCAGGTTGCCCAGAGAAGTTGGATGCCCCATCCCTGGAAGTGTTCAAGGCCAGGTTGGATGACGCTTTGGGCAACCTGGTGTAGTGGAGAATTTCTCTGCCCGTGGCAGTGGGGTTGGAACTAGATGATCTTTAAGGTCCCTTCCAACCCAAACCATTCTATGATTCAATGATTCTATGATCTCTTTTTCTTATTTTTTTTTTAAGCAGAAATGCCTCAATGCACTGTCACATGAGGAGCGCACTAACATTTGGCTATCAGGTGGCTTTGAGGGTAATTTTGACTCCCTCCTGAGGGTCAAAGTCCTCTAGGTCTGTGCATGGGTGTGAGGTGAGGACTGGACCAGTGAGAGTAGTAGAGGAGCAACCTGCTGAGAAAGGCAGGAATGGCACATAACGGGAGGTGGTGGGGCAGCAACAGTGGGGTACCAGGCTCAACAACAGCTGTTTCTATCAGGCCACTTCATCTCAACGAGGCTCAGTGCTTTTAACCCAGCACTGGTGGTCAGGCAACACAAGAGGAAGAGCAAGGATTGCTCCTCAGAGAGTCATCAAGCCAATTGAAGTTTGCTTGGTCCAAAGGAGCACGTTGAGTTCACTCCGAAGGGAAGTGGAATCACTGGATCTCAACTGGATCTTAGGTGTTAAATATTTCCAGAAAAACATTTTATTGAAACAGACTTCCATGTCCACTGGCTACGCTTTCTAACCAGCCTGAATAATGCAGTCAAAGCTGGTATGTGAACACTGTGGCCAATCCCTTTTCAGTGGACCACTAAACCAGTGGTTTGTAAATTCACTTCGAGGGTAGGGGGAAAGACTCTATAGGAAGCTTGAGATATGGGCAAATTGACTGGATTCTTTGAGTGAGAGCAAATGGACAAAAAAACATTCAGGAGAAAGACTATCTAAAACAACTTAACTCACTACAAGAGAGGTCTCTCACAAAGTCAGCCTTAATGGATGTTCATCCCCTAACATTCTCCCAACACAGCTGTAGGTAGATGGTCTCTCCCACACGAATGTTTGTCCATGTGAGGTCCACTGACTTGAAACATAGGTAGGAAGGTATTTGATCTTTATGTCTAAGCCAGTTACCCAAATTTATTATGCTATTAGGTGCCCAGGCACCTTATTTACCTTTGTAGAAGCAACACAGGTGGTGATTTCACTACATTCATACTCAAGACTCCTCCAGGCAGTATACCACCGTCCACATTATCATTTAGGTTCCTTTTTTAATAATGACTCTAGTTTTCTTTTGAACTTTTAACACTGTTCCACTTAGGCTCAGGAAGAGATCTGGTTTGATGCAGAGGGAATTTCTCTGATCCATATAGAATATATGCAGTAGAGGTACATAGGGCTGCCCACAGTGAGAGAGTACAAGCTTCTCTCTTATTGCTGCAGACGTTATTCCGTTGAAACAGCTCACTGGTCAGGCAAAGACGTGATTCTTGAGCCCTCTTACTTTTCCATACTATCACTTGCAATTTTGTTTACTTTTTTAATGCAGGGATCCCAGACAAAAAACGAATATATTTTGCTCTCAGACATGGAGATCCTTTTCAGCATCTTTGACATTAGGGGTGGTGGTGGAGGGTAGAGGGAAAGTGGTGGGGAGTTCCTATATGTGTTTGTTTATAGGCTAAATTTTATACAACAGTAATCCAACAGGAGTGGGTTTCTGGTTCTAATAGTAGTAATGTTGCCTGGAACAAAACTAGACACAATATTTTCATCACTAACAGCCCTGTTGAATTCTTTCTAATGAAATCTTCACTAATAATTACTCTACACTGTCAACTGCAATTTTTAGATGAATAGGTAATTAAAAAAATCCAAGAAAAATAATTTAATTTACAAAAACCCCTGAAATTGTTTGTTTCATAGAGCTCAAAAAAACTTCATTTTATTTTTCTGTGAAATTTCTGGTTAATATAAATTAATCAATTTTTATTTAAATTAATTCCTAAATATTTCATGAAAAAATGGATTGCACAGATGAAGCATGAATTAAAAAGATATTTTTTCTGTAATGATTGTGAAAATTATTTAAGATTCTAAAAGTAACATTAAGTAAAAAGATTTGTCAAAATGTCATAGTAAAATTGATATAAATGTGAAAAAAGTATAGTTCTAGTAATGCTGGCAACTTTTAAAAAATGTTTTTGAAAAAATGGCAATTTCACAAAGAAAAAACCCAATCTTTATTGTGAAATTGTTCAACCAGATTTACTTTTCAGGTTCTGTCTTTAAACTCTATTGGAGCATAAATACAAGAACAAATCCAAAGTTATCAGAAACCTCCAGGAAAAAGTACTTTGAAAAATTTTTGCTAGGATCTTAGCTCTTATGAAAAGGGAAAAGCTCTGAGTGCTGATTTGTGGTTAGAATTTTAACTTGAGACGAGCAAATTTAAATTACATTTAAAATGTCCACCCAACAAGGATCTAAGTGCTTGTTTCTTTCAAGCCAGAGGTTTTCTAACTTTAGCTTTCAAAAAGCCAGATGGTACTTTAATCTTCATATTAGCTTCACAGAAAAGACAAACAATTATAGCATTATCTCAGTGCCATTTGCACAATTAGAGCTAAGGGAGAAAGGGGGTTCCTGCAAGTACATCCATTACGACTTCTTTTTTTTTCAGAGTTTCACATCTGGCCATCTAAACTAATTGTTACTCTCTGACAAACATGTTGCGCACAGTAATGATTCTGCATTTCAGCTGTATGTCAAAAGTATTTCTGAAACTTATAAATACTGGAGTCCAGAAGTTTTTCTAAAAACCCACTCAGACAGACAAAATAAGCAAGGGAAGGACCTTTGTAAATAATCCAGAATCAGGCAAAGACCAGAAGTGATAATCAAAGGATTATTTCCCTATGAAATACTTTAAAGTTGTTTGGTTTTGGGTTTTTTTGTTTGTTTGGTTGGTTGTTTTTTTTTAAAGAAGGCCCTATATGCTCTTCAAATCAAATCCTCCATAAACCATCCTTTATCTTTAGGCAAACCTTACTGCATTCTTTGGGTCTGTACTCTTACAGGTTTCTTAAACAGATGATTAACAGTATACTTATGCTCTATTTAAAGTCTCATTAATTTAAAGAAGCTTTCCATATGCTTAATTTTAAACACCAGTAAATCAGTGTTCAGATAACTGATGAAAGAATTCAGTCTCCTACCTAT